TTTATTGAACAATGGTTAGCCACTTCTTTAATTTCTTAAGTATTTAACAGTATTGATAATGCCTCTACATTTTTTTCTCTCGGCTCACAAAAACTATATTTCTCTAGGGGGTTGATACATTTCATTTATTTTCAGTATTACTGGCAAATGAAACAGCCGAAATGCTTTTCCATCAAGTTGATCCCAATTCATGGCAACCATATATAGGACTAATGAGACTGCAAATACTTATAAGAAGAGACAGCCTCATCTCTCCCCTGAGGGTCTGGGGGGTGTGAAGTGCCAGCCCTGCAGGTGGCAGCTCAGCGCCTAGCCCACAGCACCGCTAGTGCTCCTTTTTTTATGATTCTCTATCATTTTTAATCTCATTTATACTTAATTGTGTCCTCTCTTCATTTGTAGTATTTTTGGTAAGTAGTCTTCTCTTGACAGGGTTGATAGAAGTTGTCTATTTTATTAGTTTGTTAAAGAACTGACTTGGCTTGCTAAACTATCTACTGTTCATTACCTTCCTCTCCCATTCCATTTCTGCAGCAGCTATCTAAGGGAGAAGGAACAGTGGTTATTTTTGTCTCTTCTCCTAGTTATTCTTTATACAAAATATCACCCACTTCTCACTTTTGAGCTTTTTACATTACAGCTCCTTAAGGAACTGGTGCCTCCAGTTTCTGAGTCATTTTCCAAAAAGTTTTCACCAGCTTCTCATCGGAGTTTCTCTGTGAGCCTCAGCTAGAACTTTCCTCCTCTGATTCCGTTTCCTCCCGCAATGCACTTTCAGTTTTCAAACAATGTGTCCAAAACTCTTATATTCTCTTATCTCTTCTTTGATTCTTTGTCCGTGTGTGTTTCTACCTTTTTAAACATGTTATTCTCACACTGCTTTAAAAATGGTGAAATATTTAATACCATTTTAACCTCAGGCAAACAAATCATCCTATGTCATAACAGGCATTGACTGAACGTATGGATTCTATTCTTCTGGAAAAAGCCGAGAGTGAACAACAGTGTCTTACTCTGAAGAAAGAAAATGTTAAAGTGAAGCAACAGGCCAAGGTAAGGACCTATTTTAATACCTTTGTCTCATTATATTTAATTCTAAAGTAGTTTGCTGATGAATTTGAGAGCTAAGTCTTTAAAAAGTATCTGTGCCTCGTTGCTACCCTGCACCCTGATTGGCTCATTTCCTCCCCACAACCCCTCAGTAAGGGGGTGTTCAGTTGCCCACCAATGGGCTTT